CCCCATGCTCACATCTTTTCGTCTATAGCTGAGGTGGGGACATTCCTTATATATGTGGGGTTGGCGTTGAATTATAGGTAAATAACCGGCAGAACAGAGTGGAAAGAAAAATTTTTGAACTTCACTGTACATTACCAGTACAAAAAACAGCCTCTAAGTTACTGACAAAAATATTTCTGAAATTTTCGTAGTTAAGAAAGGTTACAAACGAAATAACAAACAATAAGAGATGCTCAAAAATTTTAAATAAAACGAATATAAACAAAAATTTCAACATCTAGTGAATGGGCATCTTAAAAATAAATATGTGAAGACCACTATGCCACAGATATGAAATGAAAAACTTCTTGCGTACTTACCAAAACATTTTTCTGATTTTCCTTATCCAACAAAAATTCCATACTTTTATGAGGTCGTCGTACTGTCGCAATTTGGTGTGTAGCACCATTACCACCAGCATTTGTGTTTGCACCATTATTTTTAACTACTATCACTGTGCCGTCAGGTCTTACTACAACTTCGTCATCATCATTATCATTATAATAATTATTATCATCAATTTCATCATCATTTAGATGCATACGACGTCGCGCTGTTAATTCATTAATACGTTTTACTCCGACCGAGTTCGCACCACTACCACTTGCCGTATTATGTAAATGCAATTTTTGTTGTTGCGGACCGATATTGATTAACGAACGTGTTTTACCCGTTATAACCGTTTCATGAGTATCCAAATTAGTTTCAATTAAACCGATTTTGGATGACGAGGATATATCATTATCCGGAAAATCCTGACGAGGTGTCGAATGGAGTGGCAAATGTTTTGATTTCGTAGCGAGGTCATTAAACATTTGGGTCTTTTGCGAAACCGAAGCGCGTGAAGGTGAAGAAAATTCCGTTGGTAAATTTTGTATATTAACTCCCGTCATTGTCACATTAGCCGTGTTATCACTGTCGAAGTTCTCCACTACTACTGCTGTGGCGGCTTCTGACGATGTCATCGGCAAAATCGTAGTAAACTGTTTGTTGTTATTGTCGTAGTAAGAACGTTCTGTATCGAGAAATTCATTGGTGGAAGAGGTAAGACGGTCGGGGTAATTATCAGTATAAAAACGGCTGGCACCTACTATCTTAGAAGCAGGTATGGGTTGCTGTTGTTGTTGTTGTTGCTGTTGCTGTTGCGGCTGCTGCTGTGCGGATTGTGCGCTTTGGAGTTTTTGCGTTTGCTTATACGGTAGGGGCGGTTTGCCGGTTACTTTTTGTTCATCTTCCTTAGCATTCATAGATTTAGCGCCAATTTTGTGCTTTGCAGCATTGCCATTTTCTGGTTGACAGTCATTGCCATTTACCCCGTTGGGATAACTGGGATTGTTTTTAGGTGGCAAAGGCCCTTTTAAAGGAATATAAATAAAATCGGGACTTTTATTAGCGAAGTGCGTAGAATTGTTGACTGCAGATGATAGCGTTAAGTTTTCCGTATTTTGTTGTTGATATAATTGTTTTTTCTTATTGCGTCTCAAAGAAAAACGGAAACCATTAGCAAATCTTGCCAGAAATCCTTTGGAACTGGGATGTTTTTCATCAGCCTTGAATTTGGATTTCATTATATCGTTATTATTATTATAAACTGAAGAGGCAGTATTGGTCACGACGCCCTTTGAGGATATTGGATAATCCATTTTCTTCAAATTTTCGGAGAATTTAGTGAGGTCCTTCTCCTGGTCTTCTCGTTTATCTAAATTATCCAACATTTGCTGGGAAGCGTATAATATGTGATGGGCCCGATTGATCGGCGGTTCCGTTAGCATTGGCAATTGTATACTAAGAGGACGTGCTACTATCACTGTTGGTTTTACTAACGCTTGTTTATTTTCAATCGTCGAAATGCTATCTTGCGCACTTTTTCTTAAACAGGCATTGTTTACGTTTTGCTGCGAACTAACTGCTGTTATTATATTACGAGTTGTGCTGACTATAGACGTTGTTGACACATGTTTCACTTCCATTTCGTTTTCAGACTCATTCTCATTGTGTACGGTGTTGCTAATAGCTTTTTGTGTGTGCTCTTCCTCTTGCTCTTGATCGTGAGAATTGTCTGACAGTGTCGTGGTACTCTTAGATTTTCGCTCTTTTTTTGAGATGGATTCTTCTATTTCCAGTTTATCAATTTCTTCTTTTAAACGCATGGCGATATTTTCGTTTTCTTTAGTATTATAAATAACTGTGGCATCAGCATTATCCAATAATTCGTCTTCACTGTCGTCCTCAGTTTCTACATTTACTGACCGTAATGCTGGTGGTTCATTGCTTTCAGCAGACGATTGTTCTTGCCAAGAATATTTAGAGACTACCGGGCAAAAACTAACTTCCTTATTAAATGAATTTCTAGAACCTACAGGCAAGAGAATACCCAACGGCTTGGCTGTTGTATTTTGGGGTAATTGATGCATAGAAGTGTGAGCGCTGGAAACATATAAATCATCCTCCACAATATCTTGATTATAGTCGTACGCATTCAAATTGGGTGTGGAGGACACCAAATGTTTCTTTTTACTAATTGTCGCACTATTTGTTTGGTTGTGAAATCTTCTTTTTGTGAGAGAGCGGTGGGTGGTTGTGCTTAGATCATGATTTGACAATTCTTTAGGATCGAAATTACATCTCTCTAAGCTTTGAGCGTAACTCGTTTTTAAATTTGTAGGATCTTGATCAAAAGTTTTGCGTGGCTCATCCAAACCCGGTATGGTCATATTTTGATTTAAACTAAGGCTCTTCTCAGCGTTTCCGGCCTTATGACGTTGCCGTGCAGGCGGCTTTCTTAAAACTAATTGCACATGCTGTATAGTTTCGTATTCCATTTCATTTTGGTTAGCCTTTGCTTCCTTTCTGTTTCGTAATGGCACTGAAGGTCTCTGTAGTGCATCTGCCAAACAATCTATTGATTTATCAGTTAGTATCGATGCTGAGCGATCATAATGCTTAGAAACTTCATTCAAGAGGAAATTGCTTTTACAAATAATTTCATTTTCATTTAACGACGTACGTTTACGATCAGACATTTTAAAGCTATCAATGATGTCAAAATCTTTTATTTGCGATAAGTTATAGTAACTGGCATTCATATAACCTCTGGTTGCTCCATCTTCTTTACACGGGAAGCTCTTGGAAGTAAATGAAACAGACCAACTGGCACTACGTTGAATACTTTTTGTTTCACTCTGCTGTTTTTCTCTTTCCTTTTCCTCCTCTGAGTTGAAAAAGGAATTTTCATAAGTTTTATTACCCAACTCATTTAACTTATTCGGCACACTGGAAAATTTACTACCGTGGCACCACATTAAGTTTTCCGCCTTCTCTGTTGCACAAATGTTAGAACAGTAAGTTTCCAACTTCTTTGTGTTAAAATCACTAAAATCGTGTAATTCGTTCGTAGTTGTATTAGGAAATACATCATCACTACCTGTTCTAAGCACCTCCAATAAATCGCAAATATTTAACAATTGATTATGGCGGCCATTTCTGTTAATCTTACCCTCACCATTGCAAAATATGTTGAGTAACTCGGTTTCTTCTGTCGTTGATGTTTTCTCGTCGCGTATATCGGGCATACTATTTTCTGTAAATGTCTCAATATCATGTGCTCCTCTTGTCGGAGGTCTTAGCCAAGTAAAGGCTGCTGATGCGCATGTCGTTACAGACGAGTCAGTAGACGTTCGCGATGATGCTGGCGACGCTGCCGATGTAGTCTCTGAAGAAGCTGGTGAGGGAGAATGTGTTAGCGATCTTTCATTTTCCTCGTCCGCGTGGTTTTCATTTTGTTTTTTTTTCATCGTTATTATCATGAATGTTTGGTGTGATTACTCTTTCATCTGTGCTATTTTTATAAAACGGCGGCAACATTTTTTCGCCGGTTGTTGTCTCCCTACCACAATCGATTGCTTCTGGTAATGTACTCAGTTCAATAAACGCTGCCGGTTGTATTGAAGCACTGTTGCTCTTGTTGTTGTTGCCGATGAAAAAATCTTTCGTAAACGCAGTTGCTGTCGGCAAGCTTTCAAAATCTCCTATTTTTAAAATGTTATAAAAATTTGTTGATTTGTTTCTGGAATGTTTGTCAGGATTGGCGGTGGCCTCTGTCTCTTGTATTCGCTGTTCTTGTTCTATTTCCTCACAACATTTTTCCGAAGATTTTAGTAAATTTTGCGATTTCGAGCGCCGTAAATTAAACCAATTTGTCGGCTCGCAGTAACCCGAATCTTCGGACAAATTTTCAGCTGAGTTTTTACTACCTCGCCGTTGGAAAACTGTAGCCGTATGTAGTTTGATCTTTAAGCCGTCATTGTCACTAGAATCCACAGGCGACATGACGCTATTTGGGCGGCAAGAGCTTTCCGAACTCGAAGAAGTTGACTCGGACGACTCTGAATCAGATCTTAATTCTGTATTATTGACCAAAAATTTACTATGCGCTGTCCTTATTGTGTTCATTTCATCAAAGTTTAGTTTATCTAAATCATAGTACGTTTGATGCAAGCGACCGTCAGTGGACTCATAACGTTTCAATAAAGAACTTTGCGAACCTCTTCGGCTGTTATTGCTAGAATTTGAACTTACGCTTATGTTGGTTTTGCTGTTACTCTCCTCCCCGGCTTGAGCATCAAAACTAAGTAATGAAGGCGATGAGTTACCCAAACTATTCATACTAGTATGCTGCTCCTGCAGCATTAGTTGCCGTTCTAAAGATTCGAATTGTATTAAAGAAGAGGATCGACTTAAGGAATTGTAGCTCAAAGAATCGGAATCTGAGTAAAATTCATCGAAGCGACGGCTGCCAGTACTATTTCTCTGTTGACTTCCAGTACCCCAAGAGTCACGTGAGGCATTTTCATAAGCCAGAAATCGCTCCAAACTGTTATTTTTTATTTCACCATACAAAGGTCGACGTAAAATTACTTCCTCCTCCAAACTATTCGGTTGTAAGAGCTCTTCACAGCGTCTAGCACGTTTTGCGGGACAAAGGTAATCTCTTTCAGAAATAGAATCGGTATCTGCAAAATAGGAGTTAATTTCTCATTCAATATGAAATTCTTCAAAATACTTAATAATACCTTTGTTTATTTCGATTCTTATTACCGAACCAGTTTCAGATTCTGCTGAGCTCCAAAAGCTGGCACCTTCCTCCTTCCGCTGAGTCGATTGTTCATATTGATTCCAGCTATTAAGCGCATGTTCTTCATCTTCCGAAGTTTCCTCCATAATAGGTTCCAACATTTGCCGAGAACTTGACAAATAAATAGCATCTACAGAAAGCGAAAGGCAATTAACAAAATAGGTCTGTAATCAACGACCTTTGCGGCTATAAAACACCCTTTTCTTACTTATTAATTGAGTCTTCCATTTACGCATAATTTATGTTTATTAAAAATTTTTCTCTTTCTCTCGCTGTCTCTGTCTCTTTGTTTGGAAATGTTGGAAATTCCTTAACAGAAGTATTTAGCAGTACCTTCTTGCTAGGATCTCTTTAAACAACTACTGCTGTTGTTGTATTTCAAACTTGTTATATTTTTCTAAATTTGTTTTTCTCTTCTTGTTGTTAAAGCTGCGAAATCTTCAATGTTTTTTTTTTATTAATTCTTATCTATGGTATTATGATGTTACGTTCCATCTAAATCTTGTAGCATATACACACATTGTGATATGATTCATTATGCTATTCATTCATTTATCTGCAACATACGTTAATGACTTTTTGTATAAAAAAAAAGTAAATAAATGAATAAAGCGGGAATGATACTCTTCAAAAAAATTATAAATGCTTAGGCGAGAACACAAACCTATAATGGCAATTAATGACAATTTTGCTCAACAATTATAAAAAGTAAATTGACATAAAGATAAGAAGTGTAAAGAAATGAACTAAAATCTTTTGAGTAGAAAAGTTTTTTAGTGATTACGGGCTTGTTAAGGATTGAATTGAAATATTTTTTATGGATCTAATATTAACTTAACTGGTCCAATCCATTTCCAAACAAACAAAAAAAAAAAAAAAAATAAAGAAAAAGAAATATTTTTTATAAACTTTTATAGTTTGTAATAAAAATATATTCTGTTAAAATATTTAAATCTTGTTTTGACATTTTTAAAAGTTTTAATAAAATTTATGAGTGCGAAGTTGATTGAAACATCTGAAGATGTCTTGTCGTAATATTCACGAAAAGGCAAATGGACAAATAAGGCTAAATTAATACAAAAGAGTTATATATGATTTACAATTTTCTAAATGTTACAAGCAATATCCTGCACATCAATCTTTTAGTGGTAGGAAAATTGAACAATATTTACTCTCATATAACAAACTGAAAATGAGATAACGAAGAAGAACAAAATTTGATCCAGAGATAGGAAAGAAAATGAACTTTGGAAACATCTTCTAATAAAATATTAATAAAATCTTTAATCCATTTAATCTATGGCAGTTTCCTGGTTTAGTCCACAATAAAATTAATGAAAACTATTAGAAATAGCCGTTTTGCAAGACAAACAAAATTTTATACACCGAACTATATGGGTTGTAATATTATTTATTGGAAACTTTAAATCAAAGTTGAAATGTTATTTATTTATTTATCTGTTAAGAAATTTGAACTTAGTCTAACTCCAAGCGGGTAATCCAGTTTTCCTTAATAGAAGGAACTTATGCTGTGGCCATAAATTTAATAAAAAACAAGGGTTTGTGGCTTTGCTTCTGAGTACAAGATCACACCAGCTTTTGCGCTGTCGACGTTTGGGAACCCTACCCTTTTATTTTTAAGAAAGATCTTGGTGATGCCCTTTTTAATTTATTTCTTATTTAGGTTTTCACTGTCGCTTAGGTTATGATGGCGTATAATGTCGCCATACTGTATACGCATTGCTTGTAGTAAAGGCAGCATAAGCAGCGGCTGACTCTGTGTAGTGACTTGCAACAAAATCCAGCTAACGTTGCAATTAATTTATTAATAAAATAGAAGAAAAATGTGAATGCTGTGTTGTTAATTTATTGGTGCTTTACGAATTCATTTTATAAACAGACTACTCAAAACAGCAACAACAACAACAACAACAACAACAAGTACAAAGATAAAAAGTGAACATTTGTTTTTGCATAAGTTTAAATAAGATTTTGTGTACAGTATAATGTTGTTTTTGAAGTAAAACGAAAATATTTGTATAAATATAAGAGAAAGAGAGAGAGCACTGTTTATCTTATTTTAACTTAATGACAAAATATGCAGCGCGTAAGAAAAGGAATCGCTCTATGAGTATCATCAAATAGTTTACCTTGTTGTTCGAACGCAGGCACATTCCATTGTGGTGGTGTTGTTAAAATGCCAGCCAAATCTAAATGTTCCATTGTTGTTGGTCTTAAGTTTGTTTCTTATTATTATTGCGGTTATTATTAAGTTTATTATCGTATGTAAGACAAAATCTTATTTATGCTAGTGAGACATTTGCTGCAAATAGCTTAACGATGTGTCGCCAGATTATGAGAGCAATCAATAACTTTTTTACAATTGTTTGCTTTGCGTTGATTACCAGCAAATTGTTGTTTTGCACGATTTTGAAGCACCAAGTTTTTGATTAAAAATCTTATCTCTCTCCTTTTTTCTTTTTAGCAAGCAATTAAATGTAAAAAAAAATTTGTAAGCACTTATTTTCTTAAATTGTTAATCAAAGACTTTTTGTTTTCTGCGTTAGTAGAGCGTTAGTGCACATGTAATTTAAGCACCTATTAATTTTTACCGAAGTAGTTACGTGGCTTCTATTTTTAAAATTTCTTTCTATAATTCAATTGAAACTATTGTAGTTGGCGAAAATGATATCTGCAATGTAAACAAATTAAATAAAAAGATGCAATTAATTTTTAATTAAAAAAATTGTAATAAAAACAGAAAAGAACGAATTATTTTAAGAAACATTAGAAGCTTTTGTGCTATTGATCGATCAGATAGCATATCGTAAATGGCACTTTATAGGCAATTGTACAAATTAAAAAACTCATTCTCGCGGCGCAATTAAGGGATTCGCGCGCAATATAATTGGTAGAAATCGGAATTTAGAAAAATTAATTTAAACACCCATAGCTAGCGCACCTCGTAAGTTTTTTAACGAATGAGAGAACGAAAAACTTCAATTTCTAAACTAAAGCAAAGCGGTCTTTTACTAACAAAAAATCCCACGACGTGCACTAGAGAATCTTGCTTTAAAGATATTGCAAAAAATTCGGATGGTTAAGCTAAGTGATAAAATCCCTAAAGAGGAAAAACCAAATGCACATTCGCAGCGCGTCATGCAGCTGCCGACCGAGGAAAACGAGTACCAGAAAAGCAGGTTAACGAATTAAAAATGAAGCTATGAAATTAGGTGCTACTAATATGATTGTAAAAATCTATATAAATAGAATATTTGTGGAAGGGGGAGTTAGTCGGGCAAGAACATAGAAGTTGAGAGTACGGCCAAAATAAATTGTGAATAATCCTGCATTTAAGGAACATAATTGTAAATAAAAGAACTTTGAAGTGTATTTCTCTTGAACAAAATATCCACGGTCTAGTGATGCGCACTGTATCTTAGAAAAGTGAATTTCATAACAATATGAATATTGCCAGAGTAATGCTGCGTGCCCATTTGACGAATCGTGGTTTGAAATAAACGCGTTTAAAGTTTTAAGATGCGTTTTTGACAAACTTTTTTTATTATATCCTGCAATCCCAACGAAACAAAGACGCCTTTACATCTTGAAATATTTTTCTTCATGCTCTTTTCACGACGATTTTATGCTCGAAGTTAATGTTTTTTGCTGCGCATCTGCCACAGATGAAATCGCACTTTGAACATACTGCATGGTGCGAAAGGACCGAATACAAGTGTAGATTTACTTAGAAATTAATACTTTAGTCATCAGATTGCAAGCACCTTGCGGGTACTGATTTGACAAAGGTTTTTTTGTTTTGATCGCATGGGGAAAAGACAGAAATTTCAATAGATTTTTGCAAGTTGAACGCATCGATTAAGCTAATAAAAAAAAATTTTATCGTTTCTCCTTTGATAAGAAATTGGAATGAGATATTTAAGTCCAAGTTTGTTTTTTTACTTTTTAGTTAGCTTAATTCTAAAGCCACTACAGTAAGAACAAAAAAAATTTAATAGACGTACGAGCGGGAAACAAACCGATTGTTGCAATTAAGAATGTATATGATTTTCAATGATTATAACTCAACGTTTCAAGCGTTTGACAAAACTAATAAGACCCTTAAGTCAAAGACATGCATTACTTATATTTGAATTTGAAGTTGAAGGTATACATTTCTTAAAAATTTTGTAATAAGACATCTCAGGATTCATTTATGGATTGAGAGTATTTTGATGATGCTTTTCCGCTCGAGATTTTTTTGTACACAAGGGAATGTGAAACGAAGTTTGAGCGTTCTGTGGATTGACAAAAAAAATAGTCATTCGTTAGCTTGTTTTTGGGGTTTTCAACATTTTAAAAGTTGATATAAAGGCTTATACGCCTGAGTCCGCAGACCAAATTCAAAAAACACAATCTTTTTTTGTCAGTTATTACAAGGCGCTAGTTAAATTGCACATTGATGGCAATATTGGTTTCAGATTTCCATTGCTTGTGCATATCAGCGAAAGAGATTTTATTTTATTTTCATGGTGCCCAAAAGTATGCTTCAGAAAGCTCGTAATCATAATCCTGTTTGGTTTTTCAATCCTCAATGCGATGCTCGAAAAAAATGAAAGGTGAAACTTCTTGTGTTTATAAACCAAGGTTGGATATAGGTGCGATTCGCCTCAACTGCCATTGCCAAATAATAAAAATAAGCAAAAAAAATTGACTTATAAATTTTCACAGAAATTAATTAAAAATTCTACGCCTTGTTTCAACGGCTTTTTAAAATTTTGATAAAAACAACGCATTCTCTATTAGGCAAAATTGATCAATAATTGAAGAGAAATTCTTAGGGATTTCGTATATTTGCTTGAAATGATAAGTTTTGATTCTAAAGCAAATATAAATAATTTTCTCACTTCCTTTCTCTCAGTTTTGTAGAGATCGTGTTAATTCGGTCATTTAAAGGATGCGAAAGGACAAAATGTCATCTAAGTTTAATTAGCTTATTATCTCAATTAGCAAGAAGCGATCAACAGATTCACATAAATCAGATTAGAATCCGGTAGTAACGTAGAATTTGCATAATTTTTGATTTCTCTAGTGCGTAGTTCTGAATGCCGTAAGTTAAACAACAGCAGTGGTTGTAAATAAAAAGACTTATATTAACGCGACATTTACGACAAAATGCTTAATGCAAGCAAAAAAATTAAACACGCCCGGAGATATTTGGGAGCATTCCTTGATTTTTATAAATCTTTGTAGATTTGAGTTTAGTTTATTGATTTTCGGTTTGTCTTATAAATATTTACATCAAGAGAAGGAAACAAATATTTGTTTGCCGTATTCTTTGGCTTTCAATAGTAAATAATGAAGTTACACACACTCACGCATACGCGCAGAAGGAAAATAAAAAATAATAAACATTAAACGAAAATCTTTTAATATCAACAATTCCAATAACCATAACGTTTCTAATGCGAAGTCGCCTACCATATATACTTATACATATATTGCACGTATTGAACTTTTCGCGCAAAGAACATATGAAAAATATTTCGAAAAATGTGCAAAACAAAAAAATCCCCAATTAATCAAAGTTTAAAAATAATTTAACATTTACATGATGATATTTTTGCGCCACATGCGTCATTTTAATCGGTCAAACTATAGAAAAAATGTTGTGTGCACAATATCTCTAAAACATCAACCACGTATCTATATATACATGGTGTTCAAATGCCCTATAAGTTGAATTTTTCTCATCTACATTTACGTGTCTGAACGTATCTTTTAAGTAGAAGTTCATTTCGATTTTCTAAATGCGGATATTTGAACTTTTTTGTACGTTAGTAGGCCATGTGCTTCTCTTAGAAAATTTCATCATTATCTATCCATAAAAAAACCTACTTAATCGAATTAATTTCTTTTATGAAAAAATCTTCGCATATAAGATTTTGCGTTAAGGATGCTTTTCTGTGGGAAGTTCTTCAGTTGTATCTCATATGCCTCCGTTTAAGATAAATTGCGGTCAAGCTTGATCTTGTTTGTTGAAAACAACATCGCTAATCCGAAGGTGTACAATAAAACCATTTTAGATCCTACATTGCCGGTGCTTTTTTTTTGGCGTTGTACACTAAAACGCCAAATTTTTCAAATTACCATAAGTGATGGCTAAAAAAATGACAGCGATCAAAATCGGTCATCTTTTTTGATATGGCTCAAGGCCCACATTGCTAAGTCCCATATATTTTACAATTCTTGTTCTTGCTGCTCATATATTTTGCCGCTCTTCCTCTTGCTGGTCATATATTTTACAATTCTTTTTCTTGCTCATATATGGGAATTTGTGCGCGCTTACGTTAAAGTTTTTGACCAATTACGTCATATTAATCGTAAAGATTCTCCTGTTGCCGAGAAATGAACATAATCGACAAATTTGAATCGTTACACAATTCTAATATTCTGTTTACTTCATGCATTTTATATCTTATCCGCAGGAGATTGTTATGAACGCATTCATTTATTGCATAAATCAGACTATCATTGTAATGCAGGAAAGTTTGATCACCACCAAATTCTGTATCGATTTAAGAATGCCCGTCTGTTCGACTAGTCTGTCTGTCTGTCTGCGTAGCGTACATTCCTCTGGCCGCTACCGGCTTCAAGTTTGACAGGAAGTTCTTGCGCGCTGGTTGGTATTGAAAACAGGTCAAATCGGTCAAAGGACACGCCAACAGCACCACGTAAACTGAGAATGCCTCTGTTTTTCAAAAGGAATGAAAAATTGGACTATTGCTCGTTACTTATGAGTTATAGCAAATTAATGTACAAAAATTTGATCGCAAATTCTATGGGCAAAAATGTGCAAAACTGACCGCGCCTACCCAATGTTATAGTGTATAAAAATTTAATTTTTTTTTCACTACTTTTATAGTGCGTAGAAACAAACTTCCACAACCCATAAAGTATGCAAATACTTGGCCAGTTTCAAATTTGAAATGCCGAACTGTTCGTCTGTCCATCCGTCTGCTTGCGCAACTTTGTGGCATTTGTGGTAATTATTCCAAAATGAAGAAAAATTTGCAAAAGAATTTGCAATTGACTCAAACTTTTCAAAGGACTGAATTATTTATAATTTTATGACATGAATTGGGACATGACTTATTTATAATTTTGTGGAGGCGTAGCCGATTGCTTCAATGCAAATTTTGATGATTGTATCTGTTGCGAAGTATAAGCAACGAGCAAACAACCAAATATTTTTTATTTTTGAGAATAGAGGTGGTCTCAACTTATGTTTAACTGTGGTCAGGTCCTTCAAGCGTTTTGGGCGAATTTCAATGCCAACAGTTGTGCAAAAACTTCCAATTCTTTTGAGAAATTTGAAGATGATAGCTGCATTTTTTCCACTAGAAGAGGGTTTATCATAATCAATAAACAGACAGACGGACGGACGAACATGTTTAAATCGGTTTACAATTTCACGCTGACCAAAAATATATACACTTTATGGGGTTTCCGAAGCTGGATGTTAGGAACGTTTCGACAATATGAATATGCCCTTCATCCTTCGGTTATGGGTATAATTACTATTTTCCTACTAAAGTACTATGTTTACGTATGCAGAATATAAAAAGTATTTCACTAAACACAATATTTTTAAAATTGTGATACCCAGCTTTAAATATATTTTTTTGTGTT